AGTTTGTCTGAGGGTGCAGGATGCATTTCTTTTGAATGAAATAATAACAATCTTAAAACCACTATTCATTGCAGAGGAGGTGACTAGTGTGTTGCATGGTAAGAAATAAGAGAGAATAAGAGAAACTATGGTGGTAAAGCATAAAAGAAAAACAGAAAACCAATAATAACTGCTGAGGCCAAATGCTGGCAGCCCGGCCTGGTCTCAAATAGTCTAAATGCCTGGCAGTCAAATTTTCACAACACTTCCACTAGAAGGTTCTTTCTCACTTCTTAAGGACATCTGATTATTATTTTTGCAAATATTATGAAAGTAAGTGCATCAGCACAATAAGGAAATTTGATCATTTTCCTCTTTTTTTTTTCTAATTAATATTCTTTTATCTCTTTTACACTTTAGAAAGGCTTATGACTCAAATGTTCTTTTTTTTGTCTCTCTGGACCACATGTATTGTTGCAAAGACCTAAACTAGAGAAAAGTTGGAGTCTGCATTTCATAACAATCTAAGATGGCTTACTAACCAGCCACTCTCAAGCCAGAAAGTTGTCTATCTTTCCTACAAAAAAAAAAACAATGCAAGTTGCTGCTTTAGACTCCTCCTATTGTCAACAGCAGAGTTTTCTTTGTGATCTTGATCCCTGGTCCTTACTTGTTCTAATCACGTGGCATCCAATGGAAAAACAAAATGTTTATTTCCTATGTTACAGTGTACTTCTTTTACTTCCAATACCAATGACCTGGCAACTTCTTTTTCACAAATGCAAGCATCCAAAATATCCTACGGAGGGAACAGTGAATAGAAGCAGTGTGAAATGTGACAACAGGACTCCACCACAACTGGGATCTAATAACTGCTGCACACTGGGTGTTACCAACAGCAAGCTACATCAAAGTTTTCCTGTTTCTCAATTATCTTTCTATTCTTTTTCTTCCTTTTTTTCCTTATTGTGATCTATTACAATAATAAAAGTGCATGACTGAAAAGTATGCTGGTGCTTAAACAAAGTTAATTTAGCGGTTGTTTCACAAAACCCTGTACTAGACAATCCTCAATGTAGCTGAACCTTTTTTCTGAACGTTTGTTTTTGTGAACAGTGTAAAGAGGGCCAAAAGCTAACAGTGGAAAGACTTTTATTTTATTAAATCAACCCTCTTATAGGAAAAGCCTGAAACCCACTGATTGCATCAAACCATGGTTTAGGTTAGACCTTGTGCAAATAACTGGCCATAAGCGTTAAAGTTTGTTAGGAATCTTTAGTTTTCACTATCACAAAAAATAATTGGTGTTGCAACTGTTATGCAAGTAATCAGTGGCTTATGTTTACCTGGAGTCTGGTTTGAATTTCTTCTGTCCTTTCAGAGCTGATGTCTCCAAGCAGCCATGCAATACTTAGATGAAATGATGGATCCTACAAATGGATTCATTTGATAAGCTTAGGTAGTATTCAACTGATAAAACAGAACCAAAAACATGTGTTATCAAGTGAAGTGCTTCACAAACAAGAGCACACAAAAGAAGACCAAAAACAAACCAAAAACTGAACTTACACAGAGAAATCCTGTTGAATAACTTTCATTAAACTAATGTTGATTCCACATTCAATATTACATTAATTTGAAAAATGTCAAGAAAAAGCCAATTTCAATAAATAAGCCTTCAAAATCACTGAAACATATCACATCAATCTCTACCAAGTTAACTAAATGAAATACCTTGTAGAATGCTGGAAGAGAAAATTCTTCCAAGATATCATCTACTATGGCAACGATCTCTTTCAGCTGAAAGTAGGAGATGTTTAGCATTAATGTTTCCTTTCCTTTACAAGGCAATGGCTTATTCAAAGCTATAAAAGTAAATAGGATTATAGCAAAGATGGTACATTTCCTGGTAAGTCAAAACAATCAATTCTAAGTAAATAACAAATTAGTTCTATTGCAGTCCTTCAAACACATACACATATATATATTAAGCAATTCAATCATCTGCATGAACCTCTTTGAGACAACATTAGACTATTTGCAGCATTTCACTCTTTCTACCTTCAAGGCGTGTTTTAATCTCAGTCTGTCTAGTATATAATTATATATATGCATTAGATTTGTAAAGTCAACACCATAAAAAGTAAAAGGACTTTATTTTGATATATTATGAAAATAGAGCTTTTCTTTTGGCCTGTCAACAATTGTTCCCAGGTTGAGTTGTCTTGTCCCCTGCCAGGCAAGCCAAAGTGTTAATACAAGAAAAGGCTGTCCCACCTGACAGTGTTACCCTACCTGTCTAACTTGCTATCAACTCAACCCCCCACTGTGGAAATGACTTTGCCATTTTCATGTTAAAGACTGGTTGAATTTTTCAAACAGTTTGATTACTCTGACTGGGTTTCTTTGTGTCTATTTCCATTCAAATGAATTATGAATAAAGTACTTCATTACCTTTTTATGTCCTGCAACTACTTTCAATGCTAAAAATGATCTGAAATTAACCACAGAATGTGAAGTTGTTAACACATTACTGAGCTACAGCTGTCAAGACTGCAAGAAAATCATTTTAATACTAAGAATTATCTAAGCCATTGAATTGCATGTTCTCTTCAAGGGTGCAGTTGATATGCTGGGGAATACTTGTCACAAGCAGTGTTAAGTACATCAATTAGTTAACTACATGAGTTCATTCAGGTAAAACAGTTTTGACTAAAGACAACATTTTGTACATTACCTTGTTTTTTCATCATTTGTATAGAATTCAGGGCACTGCAAGGTAGACCTAAAACTAAAACATAACACAAAATGGAATTTTCATATGCCATAATTGATCGAATAGGGTTCATTATACCACGGGTAACTCCCTAAGGCATGTACGTTACAGTGGTATCATGCATAACATTTTCTTTACCAATACGAGCACATGCACTGATTCTTGTATGGGCAAGTGCAAATTTACAATACTGCACTCTAAAAGGTTGCTGTGCCTGGGCTGTATTTATTTTTATTTCTCCTTGAGCAAATCATGGTCAAAGAGATGGCCTCGTTAAGCACACTTGGCAGAATAGCAGATGACAATGATTACTTTTATTAAAAACTGTTCAATCTGTGTACAGTTCTATTGATATCAAAATGAGCACTTATAATCTTCATATACTTGCTAAAACATTATGAATTTTATAATGTATTTCATATTATGGTAGAAAGTGTTTGGATAAACAAAATCTTCTTTGTAAATGACAAGTTAAAAACATGTAAAAAGTACATCAAGATATGAGAGGGTAATCATCTTGACTGAGCTTTCTAGTTTATACCATACCTTTGCACTGTACTGAGGCCATTTTTTAGCTGTTGTACAATTGGCTCAATCCAGTAGTGTCTAACTGGCACTGTTCTGGACACACTAACATGTAACTCATTACATGGTGTCAGGTGAACTTCACTTGATACAATAGCTGCCAAACTTTCGACCACAGATACCACAAGGCTCTCGAAATAACTGTTGGTTGTGACTTTGCAGGTGCAACACAATCATTTATTAGTAAAAATTTATTCACAAAATTTTTTACCATTCATAATTGTGTATATTAAAAAGTCTTGCAAAAAGCTACAATGCAAAAAGTAAACAAATTACCACTTTGTTGACATGTTTCACAAGGAAATTATTAGAATATAAACCTTTCTATGTTTCTCTGCCTTACCCATTCAACTACATTTAAGTTAAAAGGATTCGCTGCCTGTTACCAGTTGCACAAAAGTACACAAATACAGCCAATCATGTTGCCCCTTTCAAATTAAAGACACAGCATATATTACACTGCAGAAGACATATGAAAATAAAAACTGTAAAATAAAGTATTGATTCAGAGGGACTTACAAGGAATAAACACGTGCATAGCCCAGTTACCAGGAAAATGAGAAAATGTCCTTATCCTTCCGTGGTGTTTAGCTGATTCGTCTTCTGAGATGCGATCTGAAGTAACATGATTAATGGCAAAAATGAAACATTGCCCAAGTGTAAGTGAAAACAAGGGAATACTTTGAATTTGACGACCCACAAGCATTGAACATTTGGTTAAAAATATTTGATGGGTTTAAAAAAGGGGTTATGGCGATGTGAAGTTCCAGGTTTGAGAGTGTGTCTATACTCCATCTGATCATTTGAAACTTCCACCTCACACCAATCTCTTGTGAGCCACTACACTATTTACAACGGCATAACTGACACATTCCTGCAAAAAATGAATGAGGCAACACTAACTTAAGCCACTACCACAGAAGAAAAGTCCTTCCATGAAAATGAAGGACAGAAGAAGTAGAAAACAACTTATTATGCCTTCAGACATGTGTAGCTCTGGTGTGTTTGGAAATAGTCAGAAGTCTTTGTCTTAATAATTAAGGTCAACATATCCTGTGATTTACCATAATTGGCAGTAATGTTGCAATCTGAAAGGCAAATTTGTTGTTGTCGATAAGAGTACAGATGATGCTGCTCATATCAATGTGTCATTTATTGTGGTCAGGCTCTGAAAGAGTCTTTTTATTAAATGTTGATATAACTGTGGTAAAAAACAAATTAACAGTGGTTTGGAATGGCCTGCTGGGCCTCCTAAGTCCACAACTCTTTGACCACTATGATGACCAACATCATTGTCAATGAGAGTGCAGACCACATTTAAAACCACTGTCAATCAGGTAAATGGTCTAGATATTCTGCCTCATCAACCAAATCCTACCTTAGACATCCTGTGCATGAATCTCAAAGAAGCAGCATGGTTTGTACTTGATAAAAATTATATCAAATGGTAAGCTAAACACCAACTAACAGTATGTTTGTGGGGTGCTTTGCAATTGTTGTGAGAATAATGATTGCTTTGGCCAATTTGATAGAGTGCATTGTATGCTTGCAAATTCTGTGGCATTTTTAGCCAAACATTGATGTCATAAAACATGTTTGTGGATATGAAAATTTCCTACCTTCTCTGAACATGTTCAATACTTCTTTTGGTAATGGCAAAACCTTTCTGTTATAAACAAACATTGTTAAGGTGTGAGTTTATATTTTGGATGCTTTATACTGAACATTACCTGACTAGTGAAAATATCAAAATTCATTTACAATTCCTATGTGGGACATCAAGAGAAAGGAGCAAAGGTAACTCTAAGCAATTTCACAACCTTCCCTTCTTCGCCAAACTGCAGGTCTTTCACGATAAGAGTAGCAGCATTTTTTATAGCCAGGCAACACTGATTTTAAGTTTTCTCAGGCAAAGGTAATAACAACAACACTTGTCTCATGGGTTTAATGTGCAATAATTGAGGATCCTTTTTTACTCTACTTCAGTGAGGAAGAAATTTCTGCATACTTTCATGTATCATCAAGCACATGGGAAAAGGGTATAAATATGCATACATAATTAAGTTTCAGATTATATACCAAAATAATTTGGAAAACCAACCAATATATACTCCCATCTTAATCAATCACTTTATCATTTAATT